TCTCCTCCATCTTCCTCTCCCGCGTCTCCTCCCTCTTCCTCTCCCGCTCTCCTCCCTCTTCCTCTCCCGCTCTCCTCCCTCTTCCTCTCCCGCTCTCCTCCCTCTTCCTCTCCCGCTCTCCTCCCTCTTCCTCTCCCGCAGCGTCTCCTCCCTCTTCCTCCTCTCCCTGCGTCTCCTCCCTCTTCCTCCTCTCCCTGCGTCTCCTCCCTCTTCCTCCTCTCCCTGCGTCTCCTCCCTCTTCCTCCTCTCCCTGCGTCTCCTCCCTCTTCCTCCTCTCCCTGCGTCTCCTCCCTCTTCCTCCTCTCCCTGCGTCTCCTCCCTCTTCCTCCTCTCCCTGCGTCTCCTCCCTCTTCCTCCTCTCCCTGCGTCTCCTCCCTCTTCCTCCTCTCCCTGCGTCTCCTCCCTCTTCCTCCTCTCCCTGCGTCTCCTCCCTCTTCCTCCTCTCCCTCCCTCTCCTCCCTCTTCCTCCTCTCCCTGCGTCTCCTCCCTCTTCCTCCTCTCCCTGCGTCTCCTCCCTCTTCCTCCCCTCGCTGCCTCTCCTCCCTCTTCCTCCTCTCCCTCTTCCTCCTCTCCCTGCGTCTCTTCCTCCTCTCGCTGCGTCTCTTCTCCCTCTTCCTCCTCTCCCTGCGTCTCTTCTCCCTGCACGATGGAGATTCGGCTTACTAAAGACTTCATCTCCTCCTCAGCCATGGCGGGGAACATCATCCCAGCGATTGCTACCACCAACGCGATCATCTCTGGTCTCATTGTACTGGAGGGCCTGAAGATCTTATCGGGGGATCTGGAGCAATGCCGAACGGTAAATTACCTCCCCACCTCCTCCTCCCCCCCGCCCCCCCAAACTGCGGTCAGTTTCCCTTTAATATGGGGCTTTGCGCTCGTCTCTTCCCGCAGGGGTATCTGAGTAAGCAGCCCAATCCGCGCAAGAAGCTCCTGGTCCCCTGTGTGCTGGACCGCCCCAACCCCGACTGCTACGTGTGCGCCAGCCGGCCGGAGGTGACCGTGAAGCTGAACGTTCACAACGTGACGGTGCAATCCCTGCAGGACAAGGTGCGTGGGCGCTATAAATCTGTGTCCCCCGGGGGCCACAGCCCGCTACACTGCGTGGTGGGATAGAAGAGGACCTGTCTGCATACCAACATCTCTCCTCCCTTTACTGCCTGAGGACACGAGATTAGAGTCCGCTGCCAGACACTAGAGGGAGGCCGAGCCGTGGCCCCGGGGTGACTCCAGTCTACTAGAGGGAACATGGGGGCCGAATGGTGTCACCAGAATGTCCCCAGTGCCTGGGCTGGAGGGAGGGTTACAATGAGGGGGCCCCAGACTGAGAGTCTGTACACTGATGGGTCTCTCAGAAGATGCCTGGGTATAGCTGAGGAGGGGCCCCAGAGCGAGAGGCTGTCACTCCATATGGGAGAACTTGAGCATTCCGCCATATTGTTCTGCCCTTTCCTAGCGCATGTCATCAGAGGTGACTCGGCAGCGGTGCGCCCGCGCTCTACGGCCATGGCCGCCTCTTCCCCCGCGCTCTACGGCCATGGCCGCCTCTTCCC